ATTCAAAGCAGAAGTGGATGGGTTGCAGCGTTGGCTTGAAAGCGATTCACAGTGATTCTGAGTGGTCGGATCTGTGGATATGTGGATACTGTTGCATTGCTGGTGGGTGGAGGATCCACCCGGTAAGCATTGCCAAACAGTCTGACTGCACATGTGTTGGCTAAAATGACCCAGCTGCATTGAGTCAGAACGTGTCAAATCCATTGCCAGCCCAGCAAAAAGTCACGGTTCGTTGTCACATGTTGTCACTCATGGTGTGTACTTTGGTACAGTGACACACAACCAATGGGCTGTGGTCTCTTTCCCTTCTTCCAGGGAGTCATTGCCTGGGAGGTCTCCCTATTGCCATACACACCCATATCTCAACCCAACTCAACCAATCGAATCTGCTACTCAGGCACCAAAGTTCAGCTGGCACCCGACGATGCAGCTCCATCACAGCTGATGAGCAACTGCATTGTCCAGCGGCTAGGTGGACCAGCGATGTCTGTACTTGGGAAGAATAACTTGAGAAGAGTGGGGTGGACGAAAGGTTGTCAAGAAACTCACAACCACACGAAACACAAAATTCCAACATGCACGTACGGCCTTCAAAACCACACCTTGCAAGATACAAATTCACCCGAAGTTCGTTGAATGATCAAAACACGTGAGCAATGAATCTTGCGAACGCCACACCTGCACGAGACGAACTGCACAAAGTCTTTCCTACACAAGCAAGTGTTCTTAAACCAATTTTGTTCAGCAACCCCGCCTTGCCTTCCACATTAACCAAGCGGGGCAAAACAAACGAAGTCTTCCTTCAAACAGATCTTTATGTTGCCAGCTGTGTGTCCTTTCAGCGCTGATTACTAATCTCTATTTGTTGCTTTGGTGAGCAGTTGGGTGACACAACGCGAAATGGTGAGCTTGAAGTTCTTGTGCGGTTTGGTGTGGTGTGTTTCACCGTTAGTGGTGTGGTGTGTGGGCGTGCTTCTGCGCGTCTCTTTGTGACTTGGATTTGGGTGGTGTGAAATGCAGTGGGTTGTTCATTGTGGATTTGGGTGGGTGTGTTTCTGCATTTCTGACGATTTTGCCTGGCTTTTGGTAGGGTTCTCTTTGGCATATTGCTGATTGGTGACTTCATTGGGTGGTGCTTTATGAAGGTTGTCGGGGGTTGTTTGAGAGCAAATGTGCGCTTTGGCGGAAGTCTTTATGATGTATTATGTAGAGATGTGTCCCTGTTGTATGTAAGTGACATCGTTAGATCTAATCTAGCCGAGCAACAAAACACCTAGGCTCCAAACTGGGCACGTAATACCCGTCAGTCGGCCAACTCATTCGGCGCAAATATATCATACGTTGATGAGAACATAAAAGCATTGCAAAAGCTTGGCATGAGGGAAGGAGGATTTAATCAGGGAAGGACACTGAACATTAAAAAACGAATACGTGAAACTCCAAACGGACTGTCGCACAGCAACTGCCATTCGGAAGTTCGTCAATTTTCCGCATAGTCGTTGCTGGAACCTTTGCCAGCTGTTATGTTTATTGTTTGTTCAACTAAATGTATACATATATATATATAACAAAAACACATCCAAAGCATGTTGATATATTAACAAATAGTAAATCTATGACTTCCGTCTTCAAAGCTGTTGATATTTTTACAATGGCGCACATGATCCGATCCGGGTTGGGAAGAGAAGCCCAAACATGTTGAATACAAGACAGGTCAATGAAGTTGGAACAAATCGATTGCAGAAAAGGGTAGGACGTAAGAATTGCATCATCTTGGGTCGATTGTGGGTAACGACCAAATCACCTACAGTAGAACGAGTTGCACCCATGTCAACCCACACAGTCAGTTCTGAATCAGGGAAAAACACATCAAACCATGGCATCCTACCCTACAGGTTACACTGGCGTGACGCTTGAACAGGTGCAGCTTAGGCGTGGAGTGCAAAAATAGGATATAACCCCTAGACCTTTGACAGCTTTTGTTACCATGCAAATATTTCCGCTAGCGTAGCTACATCTCAACTCCTCAAGTCTTACGCAGCTTTTGTCTTACAGACCTTTGCTGTTTCGGCATGTTGGCATTGTGGTGTTGGTGTTGGGTATTGCGATCTACCAATTCATGAACACCTGCGCAATCTCTGGAGCCGTCCACTGACGGCTCTAAAACTGCACGATAGATTGCTCTCACCTGTCGTTGTAACATGTTGTCGCCAAAGCCAAACGTGCTTTTCTCCTCGTCAACCAGTCTGCGCCATGCAGAAAAAGCATTCAACGGTGAAGAGCGACCGACTGGCTCAAACAATTTTACAGGGCAGGACATCGCGGTCATCACGATACGAAGGAGTAGTGCACTCGGCAGGCGCATGAAAGGGAAAGCTGACAGGAAGTGAAATCAAAGGTTTCAACTGTCCGTGTGAAGCTGTTCTGAGGCACACTGAAGACATTGGCATACATTGGCAATCAATCTAAACGGAGATGCAGTTGTTTGCAGCAATGACACGACGAGTGACTGCTGCTCTTATAGAACAAAGCGGCACAAATACATTTCTGGAAAAGCGTCGCAGTACCTGCTCCACTGTCGTGGGAACCACCTACCTGCGTGTCACTCCCGTTGTGGGCGGCAAATTGCGGAAAGCTCCCACTGCAGAATGCTTGATCTTTGCGACTTGAGATGCCATTTGCACCGTGATGTCTGAAACAACATCCAAGATTTTGTCATCGCATGTTACAGCATCTCTGGATGGAACTTGGGGTGACTCAAATCAGCAACTGACCAACAACAGGTGATGTTGAAGCTCAAACTCACTAGTAGGTAGTAGGCGTGGCTAAGTGCTTGGTATTCAACTGTTCAACAATGCCGCCGGTCTGGCTTCATACATGCAAAGATTGAGCATCCTCAACACTCTCTGCTATCCCTGTGTTATGTGTCAAGCCTGTGTGTGAGGAGTTCCAAACTCTCCATCAATCAATGTTGCGGGTCCTTTGCACATAGTCACATAGTTGATAGTTGCTAAGAAGCTGTGGGGCGAGTGACCAAGGACCTGTCAGAAAAAAAAAAAGACATAGGCCGCAAGTTGGGCTGATGGTCCCCAAATGCAATCTTTACCCCATGGATGGAATGAAGGGCAAAGCGTCCCAATCTTGCCAAACTTTGACCGACAATCGCGATACAAATCCGTAGCGCACTCGGCAAGCGCAGGAATGGGGAAGCTGACAGGAAGTGAAATCAATTGTGTCAACTGTCCGTGTGAAGCTGTTCTGAGGCACACTGAAGACATTGGCAATCAATCCAAACGGAGATCCAGTTGTTTGCAGCAATGACACAAGTGACCTGAAAGCGCTGCTGCTCTCATGTATCAAAGCGGCACAAGCACACTTTGGAATGGCCAAACTCAATTCGCTAATCCTTTCCTGCTGGATCTAAAGGCTTTTGAGCATCGAAGCCATCGGTTAACATGTTCATACATGTTCTATCTGTCAAGATCCCTGGGTGGGTCTCACGTTTTTAGTCTCATGTGTTTCCACCCCAAACAACGAGCTTTTCTCTGAGGAACCCTACCGTCCGTCACGCCCCATGCGCCAGCTGACCCGAAGGACGAACCCGGATTGACGGAGATTCCCATCAATAGCAGAAACGCAGCCATCCGGGCTCCAAGTACCTACCAGGAGCAACCAAACCCTGGAAAAAAGACGACCTATATCCGAAAACCCGTGTTTTTTGCTTATAAGACGACGAAAACCCAGTTTGTTTTTCAGTGGAAAACTTGGTTTCTCGTGTTCAGAAACCGTATGTTTCCCGTGCAAAACCCGTAATTTGCTTGTAAAAAATCTGACTTTTGTGAATGGTTTTTGAGAAAACCAATTTTAGTTGCAAGAATTGTGTTTTTGTTCAAGACCCTACATGTTTCTAGGTTTTGGATGCTCTTGGTACTCAGGTATTTGGACCCTCCTGGCACCCACCCCAGTCCCACCTTCTTGGAAGGTACTTGGAGCCCTATAATGTCCTATCTGCTCTTTGGTGTGCCCAATCTGAGAAAATGAGAACAGGTCGTAGAACCGGCGAATCCGGGCCACCGTCCCACTTCACTCTTGGAACAGCCCCGGCTTCGGCTTCGATGTGGGAGAAAGCACCATAGAGGACTCTAAAAGCTTCACCAACATGATGTGCCTTCCAGGACCTTCCCAATGATCGAACTTGAGATCCCAGTGGCGGGTCGGTCACTGAGAAGGCCTTGAATAGGTCACTTACCAATCCTGAATAGGTCACTTTGAAGAACCAGGCACCGGAGGGACTGGAGAGACTGGACAGATCTGCCGGATTGGGAAATGAAGACGTCCTAAGAACCCGGGCCCCTGCCATGAGGTCGGGGCCGACCCCTGCCAGAGCCCATAAGGATTCTTAGGGTTCCTTCTTCCATTCCTTCACCAGGGTTGTCCACTTCTATGCTTGGGTGAGTTAAAGGGTAATTCCAGGATGTGGAAACATGCTCTCTAAATGGTCTGGCACCAAACAAGGCTGTCTGGAGACTGACTGTCTGGTATGAGATTTCTCTTGCACTGTTCGCTGTAGTGGTTTTCCATTGCCGCAGTTCAACAAATTCGGTTTTGAACACCACCTTTGCGGAAACACATCCGCTGCCGCTGCCTGGCTGCTTTTCCAAACCGGACGACCAGGATGCGATTTGCTGCAATGCAAACGGAGGGATCACATACCGAGTGACCGACTTGGGATGTGGACGAGAAGAGCGTTTCGCGGATCCGTCCCACGCGGAGGAAAAAACATCTGTTCTCAGGTCCGAAGAGTTGCGCTCCCCTGCTTTTTGCAGGTTTCGGGTGCGTTTTCCAAGTGATATGAGACGTTGGGAGTTCGGACATCTGGGCGATAGTGATCACTAACTCCCCGGGCCCCAATAAAACCATCTGGGTCACCCTTCGATCTTCCAATCGCTTCGGTGAACGCCGGTCCACGTTGCCCGGACCGCTCCCCCCGTTCGCCTCGCCTGCTTCTGGTCGAAAGGTCAGGTTTTCTCGCACGAAGGTGGTGGCACCACCACCTGGAACCGGGACAGACCCTGTGGAACCGCTTAGTGGGACCCGGCCGCCCCGGACCCCGGGGGAATGTCGACGTTCCGTCGGTGTTTGGGTTTTGTAGACTGCTCCGTTTTTGTGTTGAAAACAGCTCCAGCCATTTCTCCATCTTTCTCGGGGACTGATCTTCGTCCGTAAATTGAGATACCTGCAATGTAGGCTGTTGATGAAACATGTGAAGAGGCTTTAGATCCAAATGGGGGGCTATTTATCAACAAGTTACACTATTCCCCTGTTTGCCACACACTTTTTGAGATGGGTCAATACTTTCAAAGCCACAGTGGTCAAAGTCGAGGTGCCACTCCTGTCGCAATATTTCACAACTTGTACGTGGTGTCGAAAAGTATTACACTGCCCAATGTCCTGGAAAACATGTACTTTTGAGGCCAACGACCTTTTGTATGTAGAATCATCATCGGAACATCTACTTTCAACTCGGGTCACCCTCTTCTGTGTCACCTGGGGCTGTAGGCAACCCATTGGACCCATTGATCAACAATGTTTTGGTTTGGGATGGTTCTGGGTTCATGTCCAAATGTCCATTCCCTTGTACAATCAACAATTTGCAATCAGTGGACAATTTCTTCCATGATTTGGAGGATCACTCTTGAAACAACTGAAGCTCAATCATCAAGCTTGATACGATTTTCAGAGGAGCTCGTGCGAGAGGAAAGGTAACCTCTCAGTTGTACCATGAACTGCAAGTTCTTTAGGTCAAGAGACGCGACATATGTTATTATGCTTCTGTACTTGGCAACCATGACAACGCGACGTTAATCGTTTCTCAACCCACTGAAGAAGGAAACGGGATTCGTTGCATCATAGATGGGTGGTGGAGTTTCCTGGACGTTCCTGGCAGCCAGGTCTTTCAGGGTACATAAGGCAACAGTTGGAGACTGTTTGTTCACACAAAACCTGGCCAAACACGTGTCTACATTACCCGGACACTCCATGGGTGTGGTTTGGGGGGTCAATGTAGGCACATATACCATCCATGGTCCATCAAAATGGTTCCTGACATGCTGCGGTCTCCAACACACGAGTCATACCGCCAGATTTCATCTGTGCCGTCCCGTCGCGTGTTCTGTTCCATTCACAAGTCCAAGGACCAAGTTCAACCTGGTCCGACATACCTCATTGACTGGTTTCCAGGGGCCCACAAACCATCAAAAACTTGGTTTTACCTAGCAAAAAACATGGTTTTGGAATGTTTTAGTACATGAAAACCGTTTTTTCATGGTTTGCTTCGCGCCCCTGGTTTGGGCCTTTTCCTCAGAAACCGAACAGTCCGGCCAAATGAGGTCCGTCGACCAGGCCTGGCACATCGGACAAATAGATCAAGAACGTGGCCAAGCGAGGCCCCCGAGACTTCGCTGCACCTGAAACGGAGCGGATCGAGATCGGATCGAGGCTGGTGGAGTGGTGCAGGACGTCACCCTCAAAGCGTCCCGGTTTGGCCAAACGCCACATGCTGTGGGAGCATCACATGTGTCGACATGTGTTGTTTTAGTATCAAAAACAGCATGAATGAGAGGAAGCAAGCGAAAGAACAGCATGCACGCCCATGTGAAAAAAAACACACACACCGTCACGACCCCGTCACCTTATGCCAGGAAGGTGCTTTCTTTTTTGCCGAGAATGAGCTACTTGTTTTCATCAGGTGATAGTCTTCATCCACCCCTTGGCCCGAAGCACCGCCGCCCGAAGCCGACGGGCTGCCAAGCCATGCGCGCGCAACCGCTTTCATGAGGCATGTGTTTCGGACAAAGGCTTTTCAAGCATCAAGCCCCAGTAGAAGCCTTTACACCAGGGTGGAACAGGCTCGGAACTAGAAGGCGTTTGATGTTGAAGTCAACAGTAGCAAAATGCAGCAAAGGTATCGGTTTTGTGTCACTGCAAATGACATCCAGCGACAACAGAACAGCAAAGTTTTGTGGAGAAGTCCACTCACCCCGTAAAACTCCAGAAAAAATGATGCATCCCAATGATAAGCAGGCCCTGTCCATAACAAACTTCACCGGAACCCCCAGCCCTGGATACGAGCGCAAGATAGTACATTCAAATGATTCAAGATCGTTATATACTTATATATATATATACACAGTGTTCCTGCCATGTGGAACCAAGTGAATGCGTAAGAACTCCGAAAAGCAACTGGAACATGCAACTCAAATAAACGGATAGTCATATGGATGTCCATAGTATTCCATAGTAACCTGTTGCCTTTGAAACGTTCAACCTTTTTGATAACTGATCACTCACATGGCCTCGATCACTCCTCGCCCTGCCTTGGCCGTCCCGAAAACTGCCAAAGTCCTCCGCGAGTTGCGTTTCGATCCTCAGTCCAGTGTCATACCAGTTTGGAAAGGTTCGTTTGGATGGGTCAGGGCTACACGACAAAGGGAGGAGGTACCCGAAGGTACCCGAAACCCTCTAAAAACATCAACCAAGCGGCTATGGGCATCTATGGCTATGGGCATCGGCAGAACCCTTCGCAGGGTCATCGGCCCCGTCGTCGTGAGTGGTGGAATGGGCACCAAATGAAACGGATCATCGTGGCCATTTGTTTGGAAAGTGCAGGCAAGCAATACTCCAGTGACCCTTTCGCTTCGTTTTCGCACGAGCCTTTGGCAAACGAAACAATCACGTTGATTGAAGCAAGGGACGAACACATCCCCACTTAAGGGCTACGGCATGCTACGGCTACATGTTCTGTGGCAACTGGACAGTTGCTGGATTGTTCATGTTGGCTGGTTGTTGTGTCTTGTTGCTCTCGGATATTTTGGCTGTCTTGGCGTTGCTGTTCCATCTTTGGACTCCATCTGACCACCAAAGGCCTCTCTCCACCAGTTGCCAAGCTGCCCCCAGTCGAAGTGAGGTGCATAGTGCCCAGCTTCTTTGGAGTGATAGTACGCCACCTCGGAAACAACCAAAGGAAGCAACAAACGGACAAACTTGTGGTGCGAGAGATGATTTGGCAGCTCTAGCTGCCACAGGGTTAAATCAGTGAAATCCAAACAGACTGTCCACAGTATTCATTTGCTTTTGTGACACATGCAATTGACATAATCATGATTAATCTGACAATCTCAGGGATGTGCGGCGACAAAAAAGATGCGGACAGCCCAAGCAAAGGCACACATACAACAGAACTCATGTGATGCTCTATTAAACAATGGGTTATCGTTTGCATCACCCATTCGTGTGTTCTCTGTAGCCCTGTCAACATGTGGTTCCCTAAAAAGATATTCAACGGTTCACACGTTCACCACGTATTGCCTGTGGCACCAGCAGCGCAGTGGCGCCAGCACGTTTATCCCAATCACCGAGATCATCATCCGTTTGTCAAGTAGCTTGGCCGCTTTTTGGCAAGTGACTGCAACATCCTAATTGAGCCCTGTCAACAGTGTGAATACATTGTCTGATTAAGAGCACATCGTCTTTGAACCCATTGCATCTGCGCACTAAGATTGACTAATGTCATATTCAGCTTCCTTTGTCAAACTGTATATTGCTGCCCCTTCATCTTACTTGAAGATTGGGATATATAGATCAAACGAGTCGAGAATCTAGGCTGTCTTCAAAGTTATATGTATTGAATATAATCTACTAAACATTTCCTCCCGTATCTGCCGACCGCGTGGCTGACGACGACTCACCACGGGCCAAAAAAACTCAACACTTGCATCATCGTGGCATGACAATGTTTACATATAACAAAAAAACAGAATGTGTCTATAAATATATCATCACATGTATAAATATAGTTATAACAACTATATAATAAGTGTATGTATATATATATATGTTTTGTGCTAATAAAACGTTACAATCTCCATCCTCACGGCATGCAGCCAAATGCCACAAACACCTCGCCTGAAAGTCCTCTGCCGACTGAAGAGAAAGGCCGGTGAAAGCCTCGATCCTCCTGGGCTTTGGGATGTGTGCGCCATGCCCTTCACGTCCACTAACTCCAACACCACCACCATCAACAACAACATTACTACAACTACGACTTCTACTACTACTACTACTATTATTGCTACTACCGCTACTTTCAGCAGCCCAACAAGTTTTTGTGACAGATGCGGTCCGGTGGAACCCTGGTAAACTGGTTCAAACGTTTCAACGTTTGGGTTCAACAACAAGGTCAAAAGTCGTATTGTCGAATACAGAACATAGCCCTGGAGTATCACAATGTTTTGCATCGTCCCATAGTCCATGTCTTTTTATTGATTCTACCTAGGCTTGTCATAAGCCTAGGACCTATGAATTGCTTTAATTTGGGCAGCCCAACTTCCCAAAAGCACGGAAACCAATCGAGTTAGCATGTTACTCGAGCTGTTGCCACAGCGTCCAACCATGCATTGGAGAAGCAAAAACCGCGAAGCAACCCTGACCTGGTTCCAAAACAAAAGCGTAACATGACCAAAACATGTGGTATGAAAGTAAACGTCTTGGCCTGCATACAAAGAACGTGAACTACCTCTATTTGCAGGGAATCAATCATGACATGACCTACGTTGGAATCTCGGATGTTGCCAACACAGTGGTGGTCCTCTTTCTTTTGGGGCCCGTGGAGAATTCCTGGGTCGAAAGAGTGGCCAGTCCGTCCTCGCCGTCGCAACACGAAAAACGGGTCTTCTACCTGGTTCCTGCCTGACCGAAGGGTCAACCTGTCAGCCCTAGTGTCGTGAGACGGATCGTCCATCCCTCTCGGATGCCGAGACGAACCGGTCGAGGCGGATCCGTCATCCGTCCCCACGACCGCCATCGACTGCCAGGACGGACTGCGAAACGGTTGACTGGGTGGTTGACTGGGGGTCTGTCTGGGGCGGCAGTCCTATGGCAGTCCTATGGAGTGTCATGTGTATGACAACCAATTGAATAAAACCCCCAATGGATTGACCAAGATGTTACCATCCCAATGGGTGGACTTGATGATGCTTTCTGCAACCAAAAAGGCACGCTACGTATGCAAAGGGCATGCACAATTCAAAGCATGCTGAAATCAAGTGTCCATACCAAGCCCTCTCAGAAACTTGTGAAATGCTCTATTGCATTCATTGTTTCTCAAGAAGTTACACAATCAGAAGCCTGCAGTCCAAACACCACATCGTTATAGCCCAGAGCGCTCGACACAACAGCGACGACATGCAAGCACACAGCACAAAAATGATAAAACTGACACTGTGCTGTGAAGCTGTGCGATGCCTGTCCAAGAAATATGAAAAGTTCCATAGAGTGCCCAATGCATTTACTGTTTTCTGTCAAAAGCATGTGGTGTGGCCCCCTTCAGTGTGAACCAAAAGGGTTCCCAGAATTTCAGAACGCGTGCACGTCAAATTCGAAACACACAATTCAGAACGTAAGATTAGAACGTTGGCACATATGATTGGAGGCCACTATCAAGGTTTTAAAAATCAAGAGTCTACATTATCACAGCTTCAGCTCCACACCACTCTTACCGGCAGCCCTCCACACTCTCGCTTGGACTTTCCTGGAGATCTCGGCCAACAAGTCGGAGTCCTTCCAGAAGAACGAAGCGAGACTCAGCGGCGAGCGGCTTCATGTGAAAAGTCTCTCCCGTCTCGCTTTCATTCATCAAATGTTCATCGATTGAGCTCCGCAAGTTATGAGACTCGAGGGGATCTTGAACACCAACTCGCTGGGGTTGGGTGAAGCTTCGAACGGGGCTCCTGGCATCGCTATAGACGGGGCTCCTGGCCATACTACTAGTAACAAGAAGCTACTAGTAAAGAGAATAGGGAAGTTTCTGGCCCGGTCCCTGGGTAGAATCAGTCTCCAACGGGGACCCAAGGGTCGGAGAATCGGTGAGACCGACACCGGCCAAAAGGGCAACAAGTGCGGCAAAGGCTCGGATTTGGTGCACTATTTTTTTCCACCGTGCCTCATGTTGGTTCAAACCAAAGTTTATCCTAGAACGGACATGCTATTTATACAATTATTGGCTTGAGTTTCTTTGTAGTTCCCATAGCCAGGGTCCAGGGTTGTTGACCCTTTCCTATAGTACTATAATATATAGTGATAGTAGGTTGAATGGATGTTTCGGCATTATTTTCATGTTGTCGCTTGCAATCATCAATCAGAGGTTATTCACAAGATTCATGGACAACCTCCCGCGCCACCTAAAAACACAACCATCACTACGGAGGTACCCTCTAGCAAGTCTAAGATTATTGAGGCCCATTCTCTCGGGTCTCCAAGAATCATCCTAAATCATCTCCAGTGGTTGAAGCCCCACGAAACAGCTCGGGCCCCACGATCCTCCAGCTCGGGCGTCCCCTCACCTTGTCATCCAGCCATGCCGTGCGGCTCGCACGGTAGGAGGCGAGGACCAGGTCCCTTTGGTCGAGGACCACGGCCTCCTGGGAAGGACCACGGCGAGGGACGGATCGTGGAGCTCTATCTCCCTCCTCCTCCATCTCCATCGATCCTCCATGAGATCAAAACATCGATCCTCCATAATCCTCCATGATCATCCATTGCTCCTCCTCCTATCATCAGTATCATCATCAATATCTATAGAAAGTCCTCCTACATCATCGATTTATTGTGAATACATCTCTCTTCTTAGCGACCTCTGCGGCTTCCAGAGTGGTTATTTATACATATCCCACAGGAATCCTTGACTGCACCAGGTGAAGAATCCTCTAGAAAGGTCCTCCCTCAAGGCAAATGACTTTGCCGGGCATCTCAAACTGCGCTTGGAACTGGTAGTACATGGTAGTACATAATGTTTCGTGTCAACTAACAGTGAGATACAGTAACTGAGATAGCATGAAATAAACATGGAGTTCCCCAATACAGTAGATAGAAACGTTTTCCAATACATGTTGAAATGCGTTGAAAGGAGGCTTTCCATCTGTTTGGGGGTCACCATGAAGAAAACCATGGTGGCCCTCGATCTGTGGATCAAAGCGCGTAGCACAACCCTGTACACCGTATATTGAGGAACAACAACTTCACTATTCCAAAGTGCCAAACCACATAAACAAGCCACATCTTCTACACCAACCACGCTTTTGAGCCACATATCAGCTCTGGTTCTGCAACAAACCGCTCCGCATGTCTTTGCTCCCTACCTTAAGTTTTTTCTTGAGAGCCATCCTTCCTGGGAGTCGGAGTCTTTTTCCAATCTTCCAACCTCCCTCAAACCACCAAAGACACACACACACTCTAAACACATTGTCACAGTTGAAGACCCAGTGTCCGGGTCTCTTGCTGGGCTTATAACAACATCCTGGACTTCAGTTCCAACTTCCTTCGCTCCTCAAGAAGTGGCTCTGACAGCTTCACTAATTCCGCTGCCTCCGAGGCCGCCAGGAAGCCTCGAACCCGGTCGGTCGGTTCCGTCGGTTCACTGAGTACAGTAGTAAACTGAAGCAGTCGATCCCCCAACTGAAGCGGTCGATCACCAGGAAATGCCTGGTGTATTGCCCAAAAGAGTACGAACTAGGCTGGAGTTCTTCTTGCAGGAAGACCAGGCAACTCGGTCCCATATTCATTCCCTTCACTTTTTCATCTAATTTAGAGCTCCTTCATACAGCTTCAACCCTTGGACGCATCGGTTCCAAAAACTCCAACATGGCCGGCAGAAAAATGGATTTTCTGGATTCCACGTTCAATCCAGCGTTAAAAAGCACATCCGCTGGGTACCTTTGACGGTACCTTGGGGGATACATGGGCCCATGGAATCATCCTTTTTCTGAACGCAACGGTCACGCCGTGGTGTCCACCAACTCTTCCAGCTGGTCTCCGAGACGATGTCGACATGGTTCTTGGATGTCCTTTCCAGACTTCCCTGCATGGTTGCTCTTCGAATCCCAAAGGGCTGGATATGGCTGGATGGCAGGTCGAAACGGACGACATGAAAAGCATGGAATGTGCGAGCTCGCCTCGAGGCTTGTTTGGCCCATGTGACTCTCCAAAGATCCCCCAAACGTGCCACCGTGCTTCCATGGCTTACCTTTCGCCTGAACCGCCCGTCGTCCATCACTGAACCCCAACCCTCCTCCAAGCCGCGGTCCTCCCGCGCGCGACATGCGGATCGCTCCGCCGACGTGCCTCGCACGCGGATCACTTGCGGGTCTGGCAGATCGGAGAGGATCTCCACCTGGTGCGGCATCGACCAACGCAAAAGAAAAACCGCTATATTTTCTGTAAAGGGACTTTAATTAAACTAAATAAATAAATATATATATATATTTGTATATTATATATGTTTTCTTAGATTTTCTCTCATGGATCAATTATATATATTCATGTTCTTCATTGTAGATTCAAATCCCCCTTTTCAAGTCAGTGCCATCTATCTTTTGCACCTCGGGTGCGGGAGGTGGTCGAAAATCCTCGGCATCACCTTGCCCTTCGCAGGGCCATCCCAGGGCCATCTAACTCAAGTCAACTTGGTGTGGCAAAGCGGGTAGGGTGCTGATTTCGCTTCAAGTGTTGGAGGTTCACAACGGCCCAACACTCAGCCGACCCATATACTTCTTACAAGTTTTCACACGAGTCAGCATCGCTGGATGCATGGACATGGCAACCCCCCTGGCCTTTAGGTTGAGACCAGCACCTTCAACTTGGATCTCTTCCTGGCGGAGGACTTTCGAGTCTTTTACCCCAAGATTGAGGGCCATATTGTCGCCATTAGGTTGGAGGCCATCGCTATTAGGTTGAAATCAAATACATGTCAAGGTCTCTGCATTGGAAGCCATGACGCCGCCGCCGAATGACTCGAGGCCTTCGCACCGTCCTTTGGGGCCGTCGACGGACGGGATTGGACAGTTGGAAGACTTGGTAGTGAGAATGGTAGTGAGATGAGTCGTGAGTCAGGAAACTTTGGCGGCTTGTTTATGCGCGTGGAAGGACAGGGCATGTTTATGAGTGTTTATGAGTGTTTGAACGTACTTTCGTCACGGGTAGTGAGCCGCTCGCGGAGGAGCGGGAAACGTGAAGGAGGAGAGGGAAGCGGAGGAGCGGGTGCAGGCGAATCAAGGCGAGCTCGGCCGACAGGGCCGGCAGCTCGCTTTGCCCCGGCAGGGCGTGCAAATGGCTTGCTATGGCTTGCTCAAGGAACTGTATGTCTTGTTTGTTTTTATATAGAAGTGTTTTAAATAAGCTCTCAGCCTCCTTTTGCTAGATTGCAGTGCTGTTTCATCGGCAAGGGTGGAAGTTGGACCTTGATGTTAAACTGTCCACCTATTGTGATGTTTACAAGAAGATTCGACAAGGCCTGCTTCTTTCGAAACATGATAATGTACAGGCTTTTACTGGCCATTTTCGACACAGCGTATTCAAGTCTTACAGTCAGATGGCAGACCCTACTCGAGGAACTATTCCATCCATGGTTTGGAGAAGAGTGTTTTTTGATGCTGGCTCTGCTTGCTCAAGGATGGAGCTGGTCGAGTTTTGTGTTCGCGGAAGATTGCTCTAACTTAAATAGGTTGCGTCAATTTTGTATGGGAACTAATGTTTGTCTATCTAGGCCTCTGTGCCTGGTACAACACCAGTCACGTCTCACTCGAGAAGTCTGATGCGCGTGAAAAAAGTCTGTGTCCTTCCCTGACAACACTTAAAACACTGCAACTTTGGTGCTTTTGATTTTTGTGCTGAAAGACTAAGGAGCTACGCTTCTTGTTCCTAGTAGTAATGCCCTTGTTACTACTAGATTCTTGATCCAAAAAACAAAATGTGTCTTTGTAAATACACTCATTCTGTACATTCGGACAGGCCCAAAAAGCAATTCGTGATTCCGAAGCGAAGCCTGCAATTGGACCCCCCAACAAAACCTTAAAGAATCGACCCCCCAAGCCAAAGCAAACCCCCAAGCCAACCAAAAGAAAAACCCGAGACCAGCCAACCAAAAACAAATCACAGTTGTCTGAGAGATGTATGATGATGTATGCCTCCTTCTCCTCCTTGTCGTTATTTTTTTGCATCGCAGCTTCTTGCTTTTGTTGTTATTGTGAGTTGGCTTCTGGGTGTCCTAACTTGGACGAGCCGTCTTTATCCGTGCTTGGCGTCCAATCCCGAAAGTGTTTCGCAGCTCTCGCTGTCGCTTGATTCATTTGGGATTCGTTTGGTTCAGAAACCCATCGAGGACACACCACCCCTTGGTGGTCTTTATTGCACAAAATCATCAAGTTCACCTGGCAGGTTCCATTCTTCGAGCCTATCTGAGAGTCTATCTGTGTCAGATTCGGATCCAACTGGTGGTTCATGTGATTGGGACACAAGTCTGATGCCAGTCCTTAGCCTCGGAGGCCTCCACTTCACACAAGCGCTCAAAGTTCTCATCATCCCAACGCCAGTCCTGAAAGGCTTGCGACGCCAGCACATGGCAATTGTATGCAATTGTTTGTTCCCCTTTGTTCAGGGTTTGGGTTACAACTAGGGTCTTGAGATTTTGAAGCTACACTAAGAGTCGACCAGTGAACAGTCATGAAAGGTTTGAGCTCCAGAAACGAACCCCTCTCTGAGACTGTCAGAAGTCAAGGGGAACTTTAGGGACCTAAGGTTAAGGTCTTTGGAAAATCACTGTCCTGGCTCGGAGTCGGGCTCGGCAAATACTGTGTCGATCACTCGTTTTTGCCAGCTTAAATCCTCGCGTTGAGTGATGATTGTTCGCCGCGTTTTGGCTTATATGGTTTTATCGGCTATCCTGTTTGCTGGATTTGCTGGTTTGTTTCCGCCGGGGTGGTTGGGAGGGGGGACGTTTTTGTCTTCAATCATGTTATCTATTAAGTGCCTTTTGACATGGAACAAATTGTCCAAACTTTTGCACGGAACAACTTCGATTGTATTCAAATTTTGCATATGTTGCGGTTTTGGTCTGTAAGACATGGCGGAACACTTTTCGACAGTTGTGTGGTCACTGGTTCCTTTGTTACGTTTGTTTGGCTTGAGGTGCCCCTCCCCAAATCACAGTGCTTGCAGGAAAATGTTTGTGGCTTGCCCGTTGATGCGCGCATTGATGTTTGCCCGTTCCCTGATCCCATTTTGATTTTTATCCAGGACCCTAGGGAGCACCTCCTCAGAAGGTACTTGGACCCTCCAAACCCACCTGAAGACCTTCTTAGAAGGTGCTTGGAGCCCTAGGGGGAGGTTTCACTGTTTCACTGTTGAACAGTCGCTCACCACAATGTCCTCGCGCGATTTTTCGATGAAACCAACCCCAACAACAGACTCGACGTGAAACCGCTGACGGCTTCAGAAAAGACTCGCGTGATCGCAAATGCTGGAGGTGCATCGAAAAAGAACAACGTTTCCTTGCTGTTGTCCAACACTCGCACTACTAATAAGAACACGAAGGAACAAAATTGAAATCTGCGTGGCCCAAAGCACATTCATCGGTTTGAGTCGAAACACAGCTGTGGCAAGTTCGCGCTCACAACAACAAACGCATGGACGTGCGGACAAAACGAACGAGTCCGGTGGATCGTTTTGGGGTTCGTTTCCTGACTGGTTTTGGTATAGTTCATCCGTTTGGGTTGCCAGTTCGATGGCAAGGTGCGACTTTCTCGCACCAGACAAAACGTCCATGGAGGATTTGGAGGATTGAGCGGCCTGCACTCCAGTGTCACATTCTCTTTGCGGCCTTTTTTGCTCAGCTGTGATGTGCTTCCAGCTTGGTCATATGCCACTCAAGCTGGCATTGTTTTGTAGTCTTCAGGGGTTCATGTCTCCTAGGCTTACATGCAGACTGTGATGGCTCCGAAGCACGGCATGAAAGTTTAAAGCCCCAGGCTTTCTCGCTTTCTGAATTTCACATTTCCCCTAAACACTTCAAGTACTTCGTGCACTTCTGCTTTCGGTGTTGGTCAGGGTTGCTCCGGCCTGAACAATCAACCAAAAACTGTTCAAGCGGATTTTGTGCAGCCACTGGCGCCGAAGTGAAAACAAGCCGTTCTGAATGAATGTAATTCCACAGGGCCTTGAGGTTTGCTTGAGTCCAAGCGACGACTTCCCAGACCAAAGAGGTTTTCATCGCTCTCCAGTCTGCGAAGCACGACGACACAGTTCGTGCGGCTTCCAGGTGCCGGATGTTGACTTGCAGACCCCGCCGTGCGCCGTGGCCGTAGACTTCTCATCTGTGCATGGCCCTCCAGCCTTCTGAAAAAGACTTCCAAAGGCCCCAACGACGACCCAATGATGTCGCACGGAGGATAAATGCCGGAGGATAAATGACAGCGTTGCAAACGAACATGTTGCAAGCTGCAACCATGAGTTAAGTCTAAATGAACGGACGCACTCCCTTGTTTAAACTCTGTTCAAACTTGGCTCACTTCAATGCCGTGACTGGCTCTTCTGAACCGCATTGTATTGAGGTTGAGACATTCGATGGTGTGCGCAGCACAAAATGAACCGGTAGTGTCCAAGACCAACTTGCTGGCGTAGCACACTGCCTTATCCTGGGACCCAATCGGACCAGGTGGTCCATGACAGCTTCTTCCAGGCCCATCGGTCACGAATGCCAACATCAGCTGTCCACAGCATATGGTCCAGCCGCCTTGCATCGAACATGGAAGCCACGAGACACCCGGCATCGACCGGTTGACCGGTTGACCAACGACCGGCCCTGACCGAGGTCACGCTGTTGAGGGCGCTGCGCGTGTCCGGCGGCACCTCACCAGCTCCAGGGCACAAGAACAAGTCTGACACGTCTGACACGCGGCCCTGCAACTCTATGCTCGTTTTCTTTTCTCGTTGGTTTCTTGGGTTTTGTACATTAGATTAGTTTTAGATGTAGGGCTCGAGCTTACTGGCCGGAGTGCCAGATTTACTTTGGCCCCAGACCCTTTTTTGGGTCGTCGTGTGTGCTAAGCCATAGCGGCAAGCCCTGGCTGGCACCGGCGCTTAAGGAGAAAGCGCTCCTTGGCAAGAGCCTTCATTGCAAAGGTGCGGACAAGGCCAACTCTGAAGCCAAAGGTGTTGCTCAAACTACTTGGGCTTCGTGATCTTCTCCAGAGCCACCATACTAAACCCCTGTACAAGCTGGACGCGACCTTTTCGAGAAGTCGACGAACTGCTGTAGAGGTGCAAGGTATGACATGGAAGTCTCAGAAGGAATGGAACCCACGAGCTCAGGAATGGCGACAGTCATGGCCAAGAGACACCAAGGGCGAGAAGGAGAAAGCCAAGAAGCAAAAAGACCAAGGCAGCGGGAAAGGCCATTTCTTCGTTGCTCACGATGGCCGAAAGGTGCAAGTCCCGCAGGGGCCAGGCACATCGTCTGCTGCCTCCTCGTCATCATCTACGCAGGCTATGATCGAAGAGAACAAGAAGCTCCGAGATGCACTGCGCAATTTGGTGGACAAGGGCCCCAAAGATGGGGATTCGACGGTTGTCGAGGAGTGCAAGAAGTTGGTGCACGACCCACGGGAAGAGCTGAGGGTGAGACAGAGAGAGCTCAACAAAGAGAAAAAGGCCATTACGAAACAACAGAAGATCGAGCAGACCATCAAGGAGAAGCAGGAAAGCTTTCAGGCATGGAGGGCTGGCTTTATGGAAGGTCTCAAGGGAGAAGATGCACGGCACCAAGAAGAGATCGAAGCATTGAGAAAGGAGCTCAAGGAGAACACAGAAGACGAAGAAAAGATGGACGAAGAAGACGAGACAGACAAGGACAAGGGTCTTGTCTTCCAGGAGCTCGCAGAAGTCAAGCATCGTATGAGCTACATGGCAAGCTATGTAGAGGCGATGGAGAGAAAGAATCAGCAGCTGGTCTCCGAGATGAGCAGCCAAGTGCAGTCTTTGGTCAGTGCCATGCGCACGACACATCAGCAGGAGCTTTTCAACCAGGAGTCTCCGCAGATTGTCAAGACGCCAAGCAGGGTTGCTCTGGCTGCTGGTGGAGGCGAGACGGCTGGGAGGTCGGATCGATCAAGATCTCCTTGCAAGAAGACCGACAAAGAAGTAGAGGAGGAGAATGCATCGAGGGAAAAGGAAGAGCTTTTCCATCGCATCCTAAGGGATGTTCCAATGGAGATCTATGTGGAAGTGAGGGCCATTGTCGAGGCGGAGATTGCATCCTATCAGACAAAGGAGCAAGTGGACGACTTGGTGCGCTACATGATTGCACAAGCCAAAGCGCTACCACCAGCAGTGACTCTAGATTCTCTGGACTCGCCCAGCGAGACACCAGGCATGATTCGGCCAGTGCTGCAGCCCTTTGGTGGACCAAGTCATCCATACAAGAAGCTCGAGAAGAACAAGGAAGTCAAGCCCTCGGAGGCTGCAAAGTAGTTGCAGTGGAGGGACTGCAATACTGCACATGCAGGCAACAGAGTGCAAGTGCGGAGAATGGGTATGAGATCTACAAGCCTTTAGCTGGTGATCTTGCCGCCTTTTTTCAAGTGTGCGCCGATTTTCAAGGCAGCACCTACATGATTCGTCGATCATTTGCTCTCACAGGTCGGTTTGATGCCAGTGAGACAGTTTCTCTGGAGAGGTACAGTATTTTTGCTGGAAGCTCTGGAATGTCCTTTTGGGGTGATAGGATTCTATCTTTGGGGGATGATAGTATTCCACAATCCTTCCACAGCTATGAGGATGAAGGTCTGGTAACGGATGAGCATCCTCGTGACTATTTTGGTTTGGATGAGCATAGGTGCTTTTCGTTCTTGGACGATCATGCGGAACTATGCTGGGCAGATCCCTTTTTGATTGAGAAACGATATGAATGTACTACCGATGATGTCCTGGAGAGAGAAAGTGATGCCTGGTGTGTAGCTGGGTGTCTATTTTCCTTGTTGGCTCACCTTCGTGAGTTCTGGGGTATCAGTGAGTTGAGCAAGTTGTACATCAATGGTTTCCTGCTCTTTGGAGCATTGGTCGGACTTGCTGGCTATAGCTGGGAGAATTTTGTCTGTATGAAGGAATGGGCAAGAGGCAGGCGCCTATGCCTGGCTCCACCGCTTGAGGGACTCTCCCATGCTCTAGGGTGGCAAATTCTTAGTCTATGCCTCAACTTCTCCATCCTGGAATTTGATGTCTGTGCTGAAGGAGATGATGAGGGGTATGGGCCTGGTGGTTTGACAATCTTGGTTTTCCTGTGCCGGGTTCAAGGGATCCATTTTTTGATCCTTGGATTGCTCTACAACTGGAGGACTCGACGTGATGAAAGAATGAGACTTCCAACCCGAGCAAGATGGTGTAGAAGAAGATATGTCTGGAAAACCAGTCGGAACACGGCCACAAAAAGATGGATAGCATGCTTTATGCTTCTCAATCTACTAGGCAGTGAGGCAGTCGGCATTAGTACCAGACTTGCCGATGTACCAAGGGGTGACTTCGACGTCGATGCCGCTTGGA